GGTGCAATTGGATTCCCATGCTTTCAGAACATTTACAGAATTTTTGCTTACAAGGAACCCCGTGCTTAAATAGTTTTATTTAATTTCTTATTTTTTAAAATTCAATAAAAAATCTCAAAATTCTGTAAGGATTGGAAACAATATGGGGAATCTGAAGAGAATAATGCATTTTAGAATATAGTATAATACCATCATTAGAACCTTCCTTTTGTCAATTGTTCTTCATCAACCTACTTGACTTCAAGAACATTAAAAACCCACCTTTTACTTAAAATGATAAAAGGTTGAAAAGATCAAAATATTTTCACTTCTTTCACAATAAAATACATTTGCATCTTTACCTAGAGTCTACTATTGCTTCTTTTTTATTTCCCTAGAAGCCTTTTAATTAACAGCCATGATAAGTGATTCCAACCAGTAAACCAATGGGCTATCTACTTCTTTCTATTCTAGACTGCAAGAGAGTATGGCTTGCTATTTCCAAGTTATAGACAGAACATGTGATTTCACATGGGTATTTTGATCATCTGAAAAGTGAAGATTTGTGACTGTTTAACAAATGGAAAGGTATTACTGTTTAATACCACATTAATTAATGTAAGAGAAAGAGATATTAAGTTGTAGATCCTAACTCTAATGTTGGATCCCCACACCTTCCAAGGAATGGGTGAAACTTGGGTGAGCTCAAATTGAGGATTTGTTAATTTTTAATGGGTGTAAATTCTTCAAATCGAGTACCCAACTTGCATCATTGAGAGGATTCAATATTAACATGTAGATGTAGTCTACTTTGCCAAGATGGCACCTCCTTTATGAAAAGACAGTGGCCATGATTATTTTGCAAGTAAATAATTACTTTGACCTTGTGCTTTCTTCTTTAATTAAGATTAGGAGGGAAAAAGTAAAGTAGGAGACGCTTACATTGATGTTCTTTCCCTTTGAAGCTAACTTTGTTAATGAAATATTACTAAACATAATACTTTGTCAATAAAACATATTTTGTAAGTGAAAATTTCCCAACTTGCATTCTATTAACTTAAGTTCTAATTTGTAAAACCATGTTAATTGGTGTTGGTCCTAGAATGCTCAATGTATTTGTTTTAATAATCAAAGAAAAGAACAGAAAATTTAATTGGTGTTACCCAATGAACCAAGTTATATATATATATATATAGAATTGGGGAAGGATCCCCACAAAAGCAAATGGGCTATTGAAAAAAAAGGAGAAAGGAGCCAAAGGAAGATGTCTATCATGACTCTGAAGAGCACTCATTATGGGAATTTAGGTAATAATGGAGGAGATGCTGCTGCTGGTAAAGGTGTGGTGCAAATGGACAGGGCACACAATAAAGCTACAGGATTAGTTGAATAATCATCAGATTCATGAATTAGATCATGTGGATCCAAATTGATTATATATAAGTTTAATGTAGATATCTTTCATCTAAGCAAGGCTTATGAAGGGTAGATAATGTTTTATTCTATTGAAGTGATGAATCCATTGAATCAGGGGACATCTGTTAGGTGCAGAGTAACTCCCATATTTCGTTTGAGTGTAGTCCCTAAATGTGTAGAGTCTCAAGATGTAAATCTCCATATCTTTCCCACCTCTGAACAATGCTGCTATTAATATCTTTAGGTGGGAAGTTGTTTTTACCTCATTTTCTCAATTATTAGCCATGTGGTACAGAAAAAGAGAGAGAGAGAATTAGTTGGGTTTACCTTGGAGATTTACAGTTTTAGTTTTGGTGGGGGCCTAAGCCACCCCACTTTCCCCATGCTTGGGCCCCATGAAAACTTCTTTGAATTAATGGCTAATGTTGTTGAAGGTCCATTTGCCACAGGGTCCCTTTTCATATGCTTGAGCCTTTGAGGATTTGAGTTTGAGCCCATTCTACAGCTATAATTACCACTATGTAAATTTCAAAACTAATAGACTCTTATTTGAGAAAGAAGAAAGAAAAAGAATTTTCTTACACACAAACTGAATCATATCAAGGCATTCTTTCTACTACAATAAATAGTGCTGCAAATCAGATTGCCCGATTTGAAGAATTTTAACTACATTGGGTTCAGGTTCATTAAAAATTTAATAAATTCCCAATCCAACCCGACCCAAGTTGGGATCCTAACAACCAGCTAGATGCCCCACCAGTTGAGCCAGTTGGCACCTTGATAACAGTATGGTACAGTTTCTTTTACATGCTTAAATTTCATTTCATCTTGTAGCTTAACTGGTTTTCAATTCAAAACACTATATTTGACTGCATTTGTTTCTCTTGACTAAATGTTTGAACTCTTAAGATTTTCTCTCCTACTAACTCTACATCCAGCCAGCCAGGAAAAGCTAATTTTTCATCATAAAACGTAGGGGTGCAAGTCGGGTATCGGTTTTTAAGATTTTACACCGAGCCCGAGCCCGAGCCTGCTCAAATTGCACCCCTAATAAAAGGGCAATGTTTCAAAGTATTGATATGCATAATACGTAAAAATTGCAAATTATATGATACAATGTTTCAAAGTTTGGTTGCAATGTAAATAAATTTGTACTGATGCAAAACTGTAGCAGTACAAATGATTTGAGTGTAAATTCTGACCTATTTTTGTTTCAAATTTTAGTTTATTTTATTTGATTGCATCACAAATGAAATAAATTAAGACATGAAGCAGAATAAAGCAAAACCCAAAACAAAACTAAATGAGAATTTATATATATTTTTTTCATTTTCACTCCCATACATTTGTACCAGTGCAATTAAAATTACACTGCAACCAAACACAGCCTTATGGATAAAAATCGTTTCAAGTGTCAAGCTTTGAATATGGTCATCTCTAAAGATGGTATTAAGCATTGCACATTACTGTATGTCCTAAACCATGGTATTTAGTAGGGCTGTTCATAAGAAGGCCCAACCCGGACCGACCCAACCCAAGTCGGCCGGGTTATCTTTAGCATCGGTCGATTTTGGGTTGTAAAACATCATAAACCGACCCGAACTGACCGACTTAGCTAAAGAAGTATGTTATTGTATACTTTGTTTAGTTGTTCATAATCCTTTGTGCAGTGCATACAAGTTGATATAATGTTTGAAATTCATGATTTTAGTTTTCGTGGTGAAATTAATCTCTAATCCCAGATGCTTATCAAATTGTCTTCTTTTTGCCGTCTTCACTTCGAACGAGAATAAATTCTCAAACTGACAACCCAAACTTGCACCACACAGGCACACGAGGGGCATGGTTGAACTTAGAGCCGAAACCGACCCAACCTGATTCAAACCGACTAGGTCAATTTTGCTCAACACTGGATCGGTTTCGGTTTCAAGTTAAGGTAACCCAACCAAGTCGGGTCAATTGGAAATACCTCAATAAGCCGACCCAACCCAACCCGTAAACAGCCCTAATATTTTGCATGTTTGTGATTCTGAAAACCAACACATATTGATACTTTGAACCATGTTAAAAAGAGCTCATATATTTCAAACCTCGAAACAAACGGAGACTTGTTTTGTATGCATAAAACAAAGAGAAAAAGACCTCAATCTCATCACCATTGTTTTTAATTTTATCAACTTGGAAAGATGCAATGAAAAATGACAGGCTCAATAAAAAAAGATGCGAATATTCTAAATTAGAAAGCAAACCCCAATATTGATGATATTTGATCTAACACTTGGAATCAGATACAATAAACCTTGAATCTGTTCACATTCTAACCTAGATTCTAGTGCTGTAAATCAGTGCAAAACAAGCAAGCTCTCTGTGATTTCCAAACTCCAAAGCACTAGTGGTCCATGTTTTTCTGGATTCATTCACACTTTGAACCAACTCTCCATGAAAACACTGAAAGTTAACTGGTGTTAGCTTGAGACATGATTGCTGTAGATGTGCTTGAACAAGGAGTTAGCTTAAGGTTTAAACCAGAATGCAGAGAGCTCACCGACATGGTTGAACTGGTTCACTGACTGTTACACCATTTAAACCATGAATACAGTCAAAAAGGACCTAAAGGATCATGGGTCAATTGTTCATCGATAGGGCTGTAAATGTATCCCAAAATTAAGGGGGTAAATTGTATATATGTACTTGTGTTTTGGGTATGAATTTTTGAATGTGCTATTTTAGTACTTGAACTTCCATGAATTAACATTATATATTGAGAGTACAATTACAAAAAATGCCCATGTTTCAGTTCTCCTTTTTCTTTCACTGTTTCATATTTCTTCTGCCTTTTAACTTTGGGATGCAAACCAGCAGATAAGACAAAGAAGTGTCCAAAAGTGAGACTAACCCCAATTTACAGAGTGGGGTGAGATTAATTTGCTAACAAAGATGAATATAGTGAAAAATGACTCAAAATATGGCATATTTGTAAATTTACCCTTCACCATAACATTTTTTAAACATAAAGTTAAAACTTAATTATGTATTTTTAAAAATTCAAGTATTAAAATGGCACATCTAAAAATTCACCTCAGTAGTACTAGTTTAGTCAAAGGATCCATATGTGATCCGGATCAAATATGGGTCCACCCAATTAGGGAGGGTATTAGCCGTCTTGGGTTGGGTCTGGATCATTAATTAATTTGACAAATGAGATGCGAAAAGCTGAAACAGAGAAAATCTTCCTAGCCGGATCCACGTTCAGTTAGGATCATCTTAAAAAGTGGGTCGGGTCAGGACTCAGGAATGCACACGTTCCAAATTTCACACACCCACACACAAAGAGAAAAAAGAGAACTGGGGCAGGGGTAGTTTGGTCAAGTCATGGTCTAATTAAGGAGGAGCAAATCTGTTGTGAGAGGCATTAACAGGGAAGATACCGCCCTTTTTTAAGTTGTGTAGATTAGACCGGGTCAAAGTGACAAAGACGTAAATCTGGTAAACAACTTGTCTTGAAATTCAAACACAAATTAATAAACAATTAAAATTTAAAAATAAAAAGAAAAAAGGTTTTATACTATTTTTTTTTTTTTTTCCGATTTTTCTCCGCGTCCTCGTCTTCTTCCCTCTCCGCCCCCCACCACTCTCATTCTTCTTTTCTCTCGTTCTTCCTTTCTTTTAACTCAACTATCAAATCTCTCTCTCTCTGAAACAGAAGAAGAGAAGAAGCATAACCAAGATGTCTCTTAGAAAAGCATTTCTCTCCCGAAGGAATACAACCAAACAGTCCTTTAATCTGTCGAACTCTGATGAAGTTGAAGCACAGAAACGGCATACAGACGGCCATGGCGAGGCAGATGAGGAGATCGAACAAGTTGATGAGGATTGCTGGTCTAAGATGTTCCCTGAGCTTCTCAGTGAGATCATCCAGCGAGTCGAGTCCAGCGAAGACCGGTGGCCGCTCCGGAAGAACGTTGTCGCCTGTGCTTGCGTCTGTAAGAGGTGGAGGGGCGTTACCAGAGGCATCGTTAGGTCTCCTCTACAGTGTGGGAAGATTACTTTCCCCTCTTCCCTTAAACAGGTTTATTTCCTTTTTTTTTTTCCTTCTTAGTTCTTTCCCCTTGTCTTATTTTTAGTTGTCCTTGTGGTTCGGTTGGATCTGGTAGAGTGAGGGCGTTTTAGTCGATGTCCTTAGGTTGATCAGTTTGCAAAATCGTTCGGTTGATTTGTGTTACTTCCTTCTTTTCCTTAAGTTTTGTAGTTTGCTTTTGCTTTCTGCGCCTTTGATGGTCTAATTGGTCTTCTACTTTAGTTGGTTTTTCTGAATGTTTTGGGTTTTGCCTCTTTCAGAAGAATCAGAACCAATCTCCATGTAATTGGTTTCCATACACACTGTGCAAGGTTCAGTGTTTCCATTAAGGTTCTAAATTTTGAACCTTGTGTTCTTGATTTCACTTTTGGGAATTGAGCGAAGGCACAAAGTTAGGAAACTTAGATATGCATTTTTGTTGCTTATTAGGTCTGCTGTTTTGATCTTGGGTGTTGGCGCTCCTTTTAATGGCATAATGGAATTTGTAGACTTGCTTCCTGGGTGTTGATTAGGTCTCTAAATATTTATTGTGAACTTTTATCATCTTTTTTAATTTAATTAAGCGAATGGAGAAGCTTTTGATTATGTGGTTGATGTGTTATTACTTGATGTTAAATGCAGCCGGGGCCGCGAGATGCTCCCCTTCAATGTTTTATCAAGCGAAACAAGAAGACCTCCACATTTTATCTCTATCTTGGTCTGACCCAGAGTAAGTAGACACTGATTAATACTTCTCAATATATGGCCTTTCATCAGAATTTTCTTCTATTTGTGTGAACACCTTGCAGCTCAAGCAGTTGGAATTGAATAAAACTTCACATTTAATTTAGGAAGACTAAGTTACAAAATGACAAATTTGACTTTTGTAGATCCTTTAAATTGACTTTTCCATGCCTTTTCATTAGTGGGACATAACTATTACTCATCTAAGATCTGTGTGTGGTGAAATCTTTATGATTTCTTTGAACAAGTGAAAAGAAAATGTGACTTGAACATTTTAATGGTATTTCTTATATGTGCATTTGTATGATAATTCTATTTTCCTAAAAAGGTAGAGCCAATTCTCCATGCTATTGAGTCTATCTGCTTCTGAGTTTTGAACCTGATCAGGATTTCTAAGGTAATGGCTTTAGTTCTCCTTATGAAGCTTCTTTTAGTTGCTTCTTCCCTTCTCAGGTTCAGTAGTCCCTTCTTTCATTGGAGAAGAGACAGAAATCATGCGGAGGATGCAGTAGAAGTTCATATTTGCTCAAATATGAAAACGAGATCTTATAGCTTTTAGGCTAGAAGCAAAACAAATGAGACATCCTCTTCTTTTTGGAGGCCCTATCAAAGAAAATCCATAATGCGGAAAAATTATTCATATTATTCAAGTTTGGAATGACATTAAACAGAATGGAATGGCGAAACAGGATTCATGTAGTCAACCCATAGAGTTGGGATAAGGCTTGGATGGTGTTGATGATGATTCAAGTTTGGAATGTTATCTTTTTATTAGCATCTCATATATTCTCACTTTATGTCATTGATCAAAAGTAATATTCTCAACTTGTCTTTCTTCAACATTTCTTCTTCTTATCAACCTTATTATTCTTCAAAAAAAAAAAAAAATCCAAAGAAGCATTTTTCAGCACCCTATGAGTATCTGGCATGCTTAGCTATCATGGATCCTACCTAGTGCCTACAGGTTGTACAAGGGAGAGTCTTGGGATGCAGATAGCAGAAATATGTTAGATTTAAAGATGTGCCATCTTAAACGAGTTATACATTTTTGACAGGGAACAGGGAACTACGCTTTGGGAAAGCATTTGCGTGCTAGATAGTGAATCTGTGATAGTGTAGGGTATGGTTTTATAGGAAATTTGTAAGGCATGTCTAGTGACAACATTACTTTCCACCTCAGAAGAAAGTTGAATCTTCTTCTTGCCTTCCATGTTCCTATGACAAGTGGATGTTAATTCATATCCTTAGAATTCAGCCCTAGGGGTGCAAATTGGGCAAGTGCTGTGTTGTCAAAATTTTCAAATTTTTAAGAGGTCTGCCTGATGTACCCCTCTTCAATTTGTTTAACTGAATTTGTACCCCTCTCAAGCCCAACACGGAAGCAGATTGAGTGCACCTAGAAATATGATCTACATTGTTCGCTTTCTAAAGAAACAACCTATTATTTTTATTCTGTGCATTTATGCCTTCAAGAGAGTTGAAAAAGTTTTATCGGGGACTTTTGTCTTCAATTTTAAAACATGAGGATTCTAATGCTTCTTTTGAATATTTTCAAGCATCTTCAACTTATGCATAGAGGAAGACCATGGACTACAAACTTTGTTACCCAAATGTATTATCTTCAATCAATTGTTCTGCAGTAAATTTGGTGGTGGTTAATAGCTTATTTTAACAGTTTCTGAAGATCACATATTATGAATGTCCCCTACAGTGTACACATTTTCCTAGATCTTTGTAGATAATATTCAATGATCCTATTGATAAGTATTCCATGATCCTTCATCTGGTTCATCCAGATGACTCTATTCTCAATATATGGGGATTCATTGTTATGTCAACCATATGTTTATCCATTCCAAGCTCATGAAGGAAAGTTTGAACACCTTTCTGAAACTTTGAAGAAGCATGTTAATGTTATATATTTTCATTACCAATTATAGGCGCCAACAAGTTTTTGGGTGTTTTTTATTTTCTTATGACTAAAGTTTAATAGATTTCTCAATTCTAAAGCATCACTTTAGATTTAATGGAAGTGTTTTATTATTTTTTTTTTTATAAAGCAGACATAGGGAGTATCACCAGGCCTTTCTTACAATTGGAAGGAGAGAAATGAAGGTTTTTATTAGTTGTTTTGTTCTGGAGCAGGGCTATTTCCCCTCCTAATCTAATGAAGTAGGTTATCTAGTTATGAAATGTATCTAAATGAGCCTTTATGGCTTTATACACCATTTTGAAGCTGAATATTCTGATATACCTATAATAGGTTAGTCTTTTTTTTTTATCTTTTATCTTTAAGATTGTGATATACATAAAATAGGTTAGCTATTGAATATACCTCAGGGTTCCCTTGACTAGACTCCAGTTGAACAATTTAGATTGTTGAGTTACTATTTCATTCTGACTTTTGGATTGTTCAATTTTCTTCACCCAGATAATAATGATGATTTGCTTTGTGATTGCTTTCTGTTGATTGGCCTAATTTAAGTACTTGAAACTTTCACTTACTTGAGTGGTGGTTGCAGCATTCATGGACAAGGGAAAATTTCTCTTAGCGGCAAGGAGATATAGGCGGGGTGCTCACACTGAATATATCATTTCTCTTGATGCCGACGACCTTTCCCAAGGAAGCAATGCTTATGTTGGGAAACTGAGGTAATTCATATTGGTAACTTGTTTTTGGTTTTGCTTTAGTGCACTAGCTGTCAACATTTTGAGTTTAAAGTCCTTGTATTTTTAGCAAAATCAGAGTGACCCAAGTCATTTTCAAGAAAGTATATTTGTTTTCTTTATTATAGCAAACAAAGAGTAGATGTTTTCTTAATCCAAGATCTAAAATACCTTCTTTGGGTGTTCGTCAACCAATTAATTTCCAAGTATTGATTTCTAATAATATAATGCATCGAGTTTCAGAAGTTAATTAGTCTCCTTGAAAAAACATAAAATGAGAAAAAAAAAACTAGTCTCTTCTGTATACTCAAACTCTAATAATGATAGATTTTTTTTTTCGCAAAAGTCTTAAATTTTGTTTTTCAGAACATATTTTATAATTAAAATGCTTCAGATTGCAAGTTAAAGTATTGTCATGTTGGTTGCAAATTGTCTTCTGTATTTTGTTTGATATCTAATAGACACCTCCTGATCTGATAGTGAGAGATTTTTTGGCAAAAGTACAACCTTGACTAGGATAATAACCTTTAAGTATTCGTCCAAGTCCTTTGCCAATCTCTGTTTACTTGCCATTAAGTTTCAAAAAAAAACCCGCACTGTATAATAACAGGACACCTGTACAAGGGTGCTGTGTCATGTCAGATGTTATGGTGTAAATTTTGTATCCGACACCTTGTCCAGCTGTGTCCTTGCCATGTCTGGTTAACACATTGCATACGAATCTACTTTCCCAAGAGAATCTCAATTTAAATCCGTTCTTAAGTTCCATATTATGTTGCAGCTCGGATTTCCTTGGCACCAAATTTACCATCTATGACAGCCAGCCACCATATGATGGTGCAAAGCCTTCAAGCAGTAGAGCAAGCCGCCGATTTGCAAGTAAGCAGATCAGTCCCCAGGTTCCAGCTGGCAACTTTGAGATTGGGCAGGTTTCCTACAAGTTCAACCTGTTAAAATCAAGAGGACCAAGAAGGATGCTCTGCTCATTAAGGTGCCCATTAACAAATGAAATTGCCCTTGATGAACCTCAGAAGACCCCTGAGATACAGACAACAGAAGCTTCCACCACCAATGCAGGGTGCATGATTCTGAGAAACAAGGCTCCTAGGTGGCACGAACACTTGCAATGCTGGTGTCTTAATTTCCATGGGCGGGTGACAGTTGCTTCAGTGAAAAACTTTCAGCTGGTTGCAGCGGTTGACCCAAGCCAACCAGGAGGGAAAGGGGACGAGGAGACTGTACTTCTTCAATTTGGGAAGGTAGGCGATGACATATTCACCATGGATTATAGGCAGCCCTTGTCTGCCTTCCAGGCATTTGCCATCTGCCTCACCAGCTTTGGTACTAAGCTTGCCTGTGAGTGACATAATGTATTCTGGTTGTTGATTCCAGCAGCAGCCTGTGGATGTTGTTTTAATATTTGTTTCTTCTCCCTCCCCCCCCCCCCCCCTTTTTTTCTTTTTTACTATGTTAAATTGTTATCTCCATCTCTCTGATTAGCATCCGTGCAACAAGCACATTGTAAATGCTGCAACTGTAAGAATATTATGGAGCTTGGCTCAGTAATACTTGACTCTGCAATTCAATTGCAAGCAAGCACCTAATTGATCAATAACCAAGATTAAGATGTGCTGCAAGCCTGCACCTAATCTTGTTTCACATTTCTAGTAACTAATCTAAGGCTCCCACATATTGAGCTGAAATATACGTACAATGGATGGCCCAGACACTAGGGTAGTGGTGGAGACCATGGATGACCAACTTCCGAATGAAACAAAAGGAAAAGGTGGGGGCAATGGACAAATTCTCAGCATCTCATCTCTCTCAAAAAAATATCTTAGGGACTCCTTTTCACACTAGGCAAAGCGAGAATGTGAATGAACAACAGCTTGCCCATGATCCAACCAGCTTTTAATAAGTGGCCAATTTCAAGCCTCAGAAAAGCATCTGTTATCTTACCAAAGAAAAGCAGATGTTCCAGTGTCCCACACTATATTTTCTGCCATACCCATGGTTACCATTTTCTAAGCTAAAATAACATATTTTTGTGAAATGGGGCAATGGGCATTCTCCAGTCTCCAATTAATCAAGGCAGTGCAAAGACACTGCTATCCTTCATCATGATTCATGAACAAGAAAAGTTGGAAAGAACACAGAAGTTTATTCTAACTTGGGGTATTTCTGTATCTTCATATCAAGTTGGAATTCTAGAACTGAATATTTAATGTCAAGCGGAGCCCAACCATGTCAATCTGGACTCTGGAGAGTGGAGAATTGGAGATTGAGTACCTTACCTACCATCTATGATCTATGCCCCCAGTTTGGCTTGATTTACATGGTTTTGAATTGGCTAACCTTTTCGTTGTAACAGCCAATCTTTTCTTTTGCTAAACCTAATATAGTGATGTGTCTTAGGGAATTGCAGGTAAGCATGACTTCAGAGCTATTAAATTAGCAGATAAGCTTCGGTCCACTTCAACTTTTATCTACCAATAAAAAATATCCACCTCAACGTTGACGTCAACGTAAAGTACACAAGATCATATATTGAGCAAATCAGAAACCTGTTGGCTTGTCGAATCTGGTTTATTTATTTATTTTGGTTTGGTAAATGAAAGGTCTGTTCTGATAAACAAATGAAGACAACTATGGAACTACTACAAGATGGGTCGGGTTAAACCATGAAGTCATCTTTGATCCAACCCTATTCGATCGGGTTCGGGGCGGCTTTAATTGGGGTTCAGGTTTAGGCAAACCCATAAATAATTATAGCCTTCACTAAAAAGTAAGAACAAAGAGGTTATTCAAGGGTTGGGTCGATTTCAGATGAAAGTTGAAACCATATAGTATTGGGTTGGGTTTTATGGTTCTATTTCATTAGGTCCGATTAGGTCTTAAATATAGAACGTGCCTTCAGGCTTCAGATCAGATTTGGGTTGAGGCAAACCCGTATCAAAGATGACCCGTTGACATAAATAAAATCCGCAATTGGGGAAGGAACAAAGTTGCTGATTGAAAATCTCAGTTTATCAGCCATTTGCATCAAGTCTTGTTGACTGCTTCTCCGAGTGTCATCAAAATGAAGCTTCTAATTTATTTTATAATAATCCTAACACACATGGTAATGGTTTTTTTCTAGATTGCTGATGTTGGGGAGGGAAGGACCGAAGGAAACACTCTCACCCAACAATCTTTAGTACTCTTTCTTGTCCACCATTCAATGGGCAGAAAAATTTAAGTTCAAAGAATTTATTACAAGCAAACTTCTAATTAATCAGTCAGTCCAGGGAGGTGTTTGGTTGGAAATTAGAAAGAGAAGGGGTCTTGGGTCCAGTTGCCTCCTGAACCATGTCCTCAGAATTGGGACGCAATAAAAATTAATGGATGATTTTTTAACCATCTGATATAGATATTTATGGTGGGTCCCAGTCCCAACACTGGAAATCCGAAGAGGTGATAGTGATAAATTATGGGCCCCAGACCACCATACATACATGGGTCCCCTAAGCCTCCTGGCCCTCCTCCATCCACAATATTTAGCGAAATACCTTGTGCAATAACCTAATCTATTATTATAAACAGAACAATGGATGTCTCTTCACTCCTTTATCTTATTGTTGGAATTTTGGGGCAAACGGGCAACAAGAAACTGGGTTTCTCAGACTATACCTATCTGATCACCAACTCATCAATCTATTTAGATTCATTTGCCGACACCCCACGACCTTCCCCTTGCAATGTGGTAAAATGCCCCTAACCCAAACAAACTAGTCCACAGGAACCCCTCTGGATTAGCCAAAAACCTTCATCTCTAATCCATCTCACCCTGTATTGGACACTTGTTGCCCAGTAATCCAGCCATTGAAATCCAGAGCTTTTTTTTTTTCTTTCTTTTTTTATTTGAGAATTGCCCAAAAGAGAGTAAACAAATAAACAACAACTAAACATCAACCCAACTCTTGAAGCTTTTGCTGCAACCAACAGGGCAATCCTGAAGCTTCCAAATTGATTGGTTCATCGCAGTGGGGCCAGAGTCATTTCACATGGACCATGGCGTGATCACTACAATCCATCCATCATCACGCGTAATGATCGAGATACACCCTGCATGGGTGCATGAACCATCATTAGGCTGCAATAGCATTTGAGCTCTTGAATTCAGAAAAGCAAACCATGCTTGCTGCTCAACTGCCATGTGAGTTGCAGCTATCATTCTATCAAAAGCTTTTAACTTTGCACAAAAAGAGGGTGATGTGGGGAAGACAACGAGCTTTTCTGAACTATACCCATCAGAGCTTTCCACATGCAAGAGACTAGAGTGCCAATACTTCGTTTCTGGACAACCACTTTACCAAGTACATCTCCTAATGTTGCAAATTGCAGTTCAATGACTCTCTCAGAGACCCATAATCGAGCTTAATCTCTGGGTTTTGGTTTTTATTTTTTGAGATCAATCAACAACTGGGGTTAGTAAGAGAAGATGTAGTGTAGTGCATGGTGAGGTATGTAGTTGGCACTGGGTTGGAAACTGAACATGTGGCCAACCCAAAGTGTGGCCCATTTGGTAGATAATTTAGATGGGCCATTAGACAGTGTGGCCCATCTGAAAGCCTTTTCCAACCCATAGTCCTATATATGCCATGCATGAGGTGCCTTCTGATTATGATGGAGCCATGGAGGGGCCTCCTCACATCACCTCTACATATATCACAGAAGCTTCCCCAAACATCTGTATTTAGGATTGAGCCCCACCATGATTGTTTTAAATATTGGAAAGATTACATGCACTTTTGGAGCATTTCATTTTCTTCTGTATCTTATATTGAAACGTTTAATTCAATATTTCATCAACATTTATTTCCCTGGAACTTTTGGAATATTGTAATATTACAAAATACATTATAATGGAAATTTGTGAATATTCTGAAATAATTGAAATTTCAGTTGAGAAATTTTGACTTTTAACCTGCTTCAATGGAATTTATTTCAGATTTTTAATTATCTAAATCATTTATAATTATTATTTTATTAGTAACTGAAATAACATGATCTTATTTGACTTTTTTAGGATAAAAACAAATGAAATTTCAGTTTTTGAAAACATTGCCCACAAGATCATGACTAGAACTCTACTGTCACTTAATGTCACAAGCAAAAGGACTTGAGTGGAAGAAATAATTTAAGCACGCTGTGAATATGGCATTGAACAGAAGGGAATGGTAAAACAGGATTCATGTAGTCAAACCAGTATAGATAGGATAAGAATTAGATGATGTTAAATAATTAAACAATTATAGGGAATGTCCCAATATGTAGGGGTGTATCGAATTCTAATCAAATCAATCAATATCCAAATTCGAATTTGATTAGAAGATTCAATATCTGAAAAATAGTGAAAATTAATAATCGAATTTGAATTCGATTAAATATTTAAATATTCGATTCGAATTCAACAGATTAATTCTTTTAACTAATTAATATAATATAAATATTTCTTTTATATAAAGAATATAAATTATTTATATAATATTACATATATTACCTAAAATATTTAAATATTTATAAATTATATTATCGATTTAATTCAGATATTTATCAAATCGAATCAAAACATAATCCTAATTCAATTAGATTACCACAAATATACAAACCCCTAATAAAAAGATTAAGTGATTTTGTCAGCATTTACACATAGTAGGCAGAGTAATACTCCAAATTATAGACGGTCTAACTCTTGACCCATCCATTACGAATTACGAATATGGATCAATTTATAGAAATCACCAGATCCGTTCGGACAGACTTTATATATTCTGATATGACCCGCTCCATAAAATGCCTACTTGTAGTAGTAATCAAGGTAAGGCATGCGCACTATGGTTCAAAATTCATGATTGCACCTAAAACTAAAAGCAAAGCTCCTAATCATTCATTTACATCTAGGTTATATATATATATATATATATATATTATTTTGACCTTTCAAGTTTGAACTTGACGGTGGACAGGGCTACAAATGGATGGGATTCGTGTGAGCTCATCCATGATTCATTCACCCACCCAAGATAGAAAAAAGATATAACATGTTTTTTAAAATATAAGGTTTTGTTTGGATAGATTTTTATATTACAAAAAGTTTGATATAGTGTTTGTATTGTATATTTTGTATTTCTGTCTTTATACCTTTTAAAAATATGAAAATCATCACAAGTACAAAGTCAACTTTTTATACTTCGTGTTATTGGCGAAATAATACTTTTATTTTCATGCGAACGGATGGTCACGTGTGATTATCTTCCAATACAACTCTCAGCTCTACCTCCGTTCGCCACTACTGGAGTTACATTGCCATCGTCGGTCTCAACCACCAAACCACCGGAAATTGTCATTGAAAGTGCGGACAAACGTACTTTTACCAAACAGGAAACGGTTCTTTTGTTCCGAAAAGCATATTTTACAAAATTTCTTATCTAAATGATTTTCAAAACAAAAACATCAAAATAAAAAATATTTTTTATATTTTATACTTTGATACTATTAAAAATACAAAAGTAGAAATCTATCTAAACAGTGCCTAAATAAATAAATACTGACTTCAGATGCAATAAGATGTTGCATATATGTAAATGTCACGTTG